TAGAGATCTGGCTGCCTCTGCCTTCCGAGTGCTGGGATTAAAAGCATGGGATACCACTGCTCAGCTCAAAATTAAGAATTTTTTTTTTGCAGCCGGGCGTTGGTGGCTCACGCCTTTAATCCCAGCACTCGGAAGGCAGAGGCAGGCGGATCTCTGTGAGTTCGAGACCAGCCTGGACTACCAAGTGAGTTCCAGGACAGCCTCCAAAGCCACAGAGAAACCCTGTCTCGAAAAACCAAAAAAAAAAAAAAAAAAAAAAAAAGAATTTTTTTTGCTGGGCGTTGGTGGCACACGCCTTTAATCCCAGCACTCAGGAGGCAGAGGCAAGCGGATCTCTGTGAGTTTGAGGCCAACCTGGTCTACAGAGCGAGTTCCAGGACAGGCTCCAAAAACAATACAGAGAAACCCTGTCTCGAAGAAAAAAAAAAGAATTTTTTATGTACTAGGGATTTAATTTAGGACCTTATATATGCTAGTCAAACACTGAGCTACATCCCCTAGCAAAATTATAAATTTCACCACAAGATACTGTAGATTTGTGTGTGGGAGTGTGTTTGTGTGTGTAGGGTACATGTGCATATATGTGTATGTGTATATGGAAGCCAATATTGTAGATTTTATTTATTTATGTGAGACAGGGGCTTACTTTGTAGACCAGGCTGACCTTGAACTCACAGTCAAGTGAATCCTGCCCCTTACCTCTTCCCAGTGCTGGAACTAAAGGTGTCCATCACTATGCCTGACTTTATTTTTCTTAGGTATCAGGCAGATGCCATACCACATGCTCTATAAATATAGACTCTACCAGGTTGGTACATTTTACATCCTCTGTAAGTGTATAAATGGAGCCACAGAGAGGCAGTATTGAGAGCACGTCAAGCTCCAAGCAATCTGGCAAAGCCCAGGCTGTCAGCCAAGCAAATGCTCGTGGCTTTCTATGAAGGGCCAGAAATGACTATTTTTGAGCACACAGTGACGGAAACATTCAGCTAAAATCATCTGGACAGGTTTGATAAGGTGGTTCAGCCTGTAAAGGGACTTGCAGACACTCTGGGAGATCTGAATTTTATCCCAGGGACGCAAAGCCAACTCCCACAAGTTGTCCTCTAAATTGCATGAGTATTGTGGCATGTACCAGTAAATATGAACAAACAGCACCTACAGGAGAAAAAAACAAAAACCCTAAAACTTTATCTAAACTTGTCAGCTGAGTTGAGTAGGGACTTCCACAAAGCTGCCACACACAGCTGGCTGGGCGGTGGTGGTGCACACCTTTAATCCCAGTACTCGGGAGGCTGAGGCAGGCGGATCTCTGTGAGTTCATTGTCAGCCTGGTCTATAGATCGAGTTCCAGGACAGGCTCCAAAGCAATACAGAGAATATAGAGAAACTCTGCTTCGAAAAACCAAAAAAAAAAAAAAAAGGAGGATTTATGGAGGACTTAGTTTTAAATATTTATGTGTCTGTGTGTTGTTATTTATTTAGTCATTATTTTAGATCTATGTGTCTGTGTGTGTGAATATACACTGGAATGCAGGTGGTATAGGCACCAGATCCCTCTGGAGCTGGAGTTACAGGTTATGACCCAACCAGTGTGACTGCTAGCATCTGAACTTTGACCCACTGCAAGAGCAGCGTTTGCTCTGGTCTCCCTCTCTCCAGTCTATTTGTTGTTTTCCGAGAAAGTCTCAAGTAACCCAGGCTGAAGTTAAGTGCTGAAGCCTGCTTTGAACTGATTCTCCAGTCTCACCTCCCAGATTCTAGGATTACAGCCAACCTGGCTCAGAAATAAGGAAGGTTACACAACACATCTAGAAACTGTAATCTTCTGCCACAGTGCTTAATAACGAAGACGATGTTAATCCGATGGTGAATGGAGTTGCTACTCAGAAGTCCTTCCAGAAGTCCTTTTGGTATAAGGCTACTAAGAGCTTCCATGCAGGCTGGAGGCTGAGGCTTTAGGACACTCGTTGGCATACAAAAGAAGAACATCAGGTCAGAGATTCCAAGAGCTCTTTAGGTGCTGTGTGCCTGGAAGCAGGAGTAGGACATATGCATAGAATCACACAATCCATTTCTCCAGGGCCAACTACACGTGATGAATACAGTCTTCCCAGCTGATTGGCAGGGCCCTGTCATATTGAAGCCTGTGGGAGTGTGTTGGGTAGGTGGGAAGGCATTCCCCAGAGGGCTTTTTATGTTCTGCTGTATTCTTCACAAAGTGGTCCACGCCACCTTTAGCCCCAACACACTGGGGAGGCAGAAGAAGGTGGATCTCTGTGAGTTTCAGGCTAGCCTGGTCTACAAGAGCTAGTTCCAAGACAACTAGTGTTGCATAGTGAGATCCCATTTCCAAAGAAGACACAAAAGAAAATGAAAGTACTTGCATTAATTACTTGTGTAACTTTTTTTTAAAAAGATTTATTTATTGATCACATATAAAGTGTTCTGCCTACATGCCAGAAGAGGGCTCCAGATTGAATTGTAGATGGTTGTGAGCCACCATGGGGTTGCTGGGAATTGAACTCAGGACCCCTGGAAGAGCAGTCAATGCTCTTAACTTCTCAGCCATCTCTCCAGCCCCACTTGTACAACTTTTAAAAATAAAAAATAAAAAAATAGCCGGGTGTTGGTGTCACACGCCTTTAATCCCAGCACTTGGGAAGCAGAGGCAGGCAGATCTCTGAGTTCGAGGCCAGCCTGGTCTACAGAGCAAATTCCAAGACAGCCTCCAAAACAATACAGAGAAACCCTGTCTAGAAAAACAAACAAACAAAAAGAAAAACGAAAGCAAACTAAAATATGCATTCATTGTGTAAGCCACACACATGCAGCTAGATTGGTTGGCTAACTGATATACTGTGTGAGGTGTGACCAGAGAATAAGATAACCTGAATTTCACTTTGCCAGATTACCAAGGTAGGCAGGATTATCTGACAAACTTGCTGTTGAAACTGCTCCACTTTGTGAGTTTGTTATTGGATAAGTTCTGACTTCATGGAAAGACATGAACATGTCCATCTATGTTGTGGCATAGAACTCGGGACAATGTCGATACAGACAAGAGGGAGAATGTTTCAACAATCTTCAAGAATGTGTACCCTCTTGGCCACACAGCTCCTTGCTTCTGAGAAAATGCTTTGCTAGATGTGGTTGGTAGCTCATGTCTGAGATCTCAGCACATGCTTGCCCCAAATTTGAACTGAGCTACGTAGTGAGTCTGAGGTCACAGTCTGACAAGACAGGGTAAGACCCCGTCATGAGCCGGGCGTTGGTGGCTCACGCCTTTAATCCCAGCACTCGGGAGGCAGAGGCAGGCGGATCACTGTGAGTTCGAGACCAGCCTGGACTACCAAGTGAGTTCCAGGACAGCCTCCAAAACCACAGAGAAACCTTGTCTCAAAAAACCAAAAAAAAAAAAAAAAAAAAAAAAAAAGACCCTGTCATGAAACAAAAGAGCTGGAGAGAGGTCTCTGACGGGAAGAACGCTGGTTGCCCTTGCAGTGGGACCAGAGTTTGTTTCTCAGCACCCACAAACGACTCACCAAGGCCTGTAACTTCAATTCTATGGGATCCCACGCCCTCTTCTGGCATCTCTAGGAACTGCACTTATATGATGCACATATAAACATGAGGGCCAAATCAGGAGGTGGCTCACGCCTTTAATCCCAGCACTTGGGAGGTAGAGACAGGCGGATCTCTGTGAGTTCAAGGCCAGCCTGGTCTACAGAGTGAGTTCCAGGACAGCCAGGACAGTTACACGGAGAAACCTTGTCTTGAATCCCCCCCCCCCACACACAAAAAAAAAAAGGAAGAAGAAAAAATTCTGCCTATCCACAAAGTTGCAAAGATTTTCTATTGTTTTCTTTTTGGGGGGGGTGTTTCAGACAGGGTTTCTTTGTGTATTCCTGGCTGTCCTGGAACTCACTTTGTATACCAGGCTGACTTTGAGCTCAGAGATTCACCTGCCTCTGCCTCCTGATTTCTGGGATTAAAGGCATGTGTCACCACATGCAGCTTCTCTTGTTTTCTTCTAGAAGTTTTATAGGATCATAGCATAATAGTTGCCTCAAAGATTTCTCATGACAGAGGGGTATGGTAACACAGTCCTGAAACACCATAGCTGGGAAGAAGCAGGAGGATTGGAAGTTCAAAATCAACCCCCTCCATATGACATGGTGAGTTCCAGAAGCCAGCCTAGACTACCAGAGATTGTTTCAAAAATAATCAAACTCTGGAGCCCTTAGGTCAAACTGTGCTGGGATTTGGGGGGGGGAGGATGATATGAGGGCTAGGGTGTATTTATTGACCACCAACTCTTTGTGAGGCCTTGGATATAGCAAACAATACCTAACTTGGCCAGCTGCATTCCACAGACAAGCAGGGGAGATAGTGGAAGAAATAAAATACATTAAATGCTGGACTAAGGAAAGAGACACAGGGACCTGTGGTGGAGAGGGAAGGGAATCTCACAAAGTCTGTGATTCCCCCCTTCCCAGCATTTGCCTTCCTTACAGGTCCCTCCAGATGGGGGTGCGCGTGCATGACGTCATCGGTGGTGCTAGGAGGCAAGGTGATTCTGGGGGCCAGAGGCTCGGCAGGTCTCTTAGAGAGGGTCATTCCTGAAACCAGCGGTTCAGCAGCGCGTTCAATGAGCCACGTAGGTCAAACTGGAGCCCCTTCTATTTGGGGCAGACAACGACAGGAGAGAGGCAAATAAACAAATAAATCAATAACGAAGAGGGTTTCCAGAAGAGCTACATCTTGGAGGGCTCCCGAAGGCGGGGACGCGTCTGCACTCTCTGTCCACACCTCTACTCCGCGCCAGTTTGCAGAAGTCGTCCCGAAGGCGAGGAGCGCGCCCGGCACCGAGACCCCCCACGGCTGCAAGCGCTCCCTGAGCGCGCTCTTCCCAGAGCTTCGCCTGCCGGGCGCGAACGCCCTCTGGCGGGAACCTCGATCCACACCAGTCGCGCGCAGAGAGGGGGCGGGGGCGCCGCGCACGCGCACGGGTCGCCGGTGCGCGCCGAGCGGGGGGCGCCGCGCGGTGCAGCCACGATGGAAGGGGGTGCGTACGGAGCGGGCAAAGCCGGGGGCGCCTTCGACCCTTACACCCTGGTGCGGCAGCCACACACCATCCTGCGCGTCGTGTCTTGGGTAAGGACGTAGCAAGGCTGGCTGAGGCTCCGGGCTCCGGGGGACCGGCGCGACCTCACCTGGCCGAGACCGGCGGCTCAGCCGGTGCATTGGATCCCGGCCGCACGCTGCTTCCCCGGCCCCAGCTGCCGGGTTCCTCAGCCCCATCGCCTTGACCTCCAGGCTGTCGCTGCTTTGCAGCTAGCGGCTTGGCTCGCGCGCGTCCGTGGGGACGGAGCCCGCGTTCAAGGCCGTTTGTTGGGGGGCACGGATCAGGGCGTGGATCTTCTCGCTAGGGCGCACCGCCGCACCTGCCGCGCGCGTTCGGGGCGAGGACCTGGAACCAGGTTTTGTTGCTCACCCCGCACGCTGCGGAGCCCTGAGTCTGGAACTGGACACCGGGTTTCGCCAAGACCCGCATCTGCTTCGCCGCGTGACCTTGGGCAGGGAACCACCCAAGAAAAATAAGGGAAACGAGGAATTCAGTTCTGAGCTGAGTAGGGAGCGTCACCTCTTCTGTCATGCCTTAGTTTCTCGATTTATAGGGGTGGGAGGAGCCTCCTTGGGCTCTGGCATTTTATGAATCCACAATACTCCCACTCCTAAGCCCAGCATAATGCTACACCTGAGTGGCGCCTAGGTGTTGTCTGGAGAAAGGTTCCTTCCATGCAGTAGAGAGCAGGGAGGTCGGTCTGTTGGCAACCTTCTGCCCACCTAGTCTGTGTAGGACCCCCAGAGCTGAGTGGGGCTCAGCCCAAACCTGGGGGATGGGGCAAAAACACCTTGGGGTGAGAGGCTCTGGGGGCTTTGCACCCGAGGGAGAGAGGAGGCCTGTAGGCCCTGGTGCCCTCTGGTATTGGCTGGCTTCATGGAGGAGGGTTTTGCCTCTGCAGATCTGGGTCTCCCTCCTAAAGGGCTAAGACCAGACGATCCTAGATTAGTGACACAGGTCAGGGACCCTTGGGGGTTGTGATTGAAGTCAGCTGTGACCTAAGCTTACTGAGGTGCTCTTCTTTCCTGGTTTTCAGAGCCCCCTGGGGATCTGATGGATGATGGGATGGCTTGGAATTTATTCTGGTCTTAGGAAATGTTTAAATGTCCTCCTTATGGAGAGCCTTGTTTCTAGCCATGCAGCCCAGATACATCCATGAAGGTTTGTGACACTGAATTTATTCATTTTTGGCTCTCCCCAAGTTGCAGAAGTCCCTGCAGATCCTAGGTAAAGTGGGAACCCTGGTCGGGTGTGTTGGCTAGATGCCGTTTCCTCTGACCTCGGGCACCTGCCTGGGAGGTTTGTGAAGGGGTGTGGGCGTTTTCTTGTGCTTGGGTCATTTCTACCCGAGATGGCTTCATTTAGCAAAGCTTTATTGAGTCTGCCAGGCCCAGAGGGAAGGGAGCGTGACTCAGGCTCAGCCCCGATGCTCAGGGAGCCCACAGTCCCGCTGGGGAGGGAGTCAGGACAGGGTCTCCCTGCTGTGAAATAGAGGTGCTTCCTGGAGATGACGTCATGTTGGGTCTAGTGGGATGCAGAGGGTTTACACTTGTATACATCGGGGTAACAGGAGGACATGTTGAGCAGGAGGGAAAAACTAATTAATCTAGCCTAGCACCCACTCACTAATCCTTGAGAACGGTGGGCAAGCATTTGAATCCTAGTCTTCTTGTCACCAGAGGCCTGGGTTTCTGCTGCAGGGGTGACTGCAAACCCTGTAGTTTCCAGATTGGAAAGGATATAAAGGCGATCAAATCCAACTCCAGCCCAAAGCACTTCGTGATCTCACAGCCCTGCTCATGCACCTGGACTCCAAGTGCCTTCTACTTTTTGTTTGTTTGTTTTTCGAGACAGGGTTTCTCTGGGGCTTTGGAGGCTGTCCTGGAACTAGCTCTTGCAGAACAGGCTGGTCTCGAACTCACAGAGGTCCGCCTGCCTCTGCCTCCCCAGTGCTGGAGTTAAAGGCATGTACCACCACGGCCTGGAGAAAAATATTTCTAAAATCTCAGACGTAGAGGCAGGAGGATCAAGAGTTCAAGGCCAGTCTGGGCTACTTGAGACTGTCTAAAAAGAAATGAAGACTTTTCCCCCTACCTGATCATTAAAGTAATACCCACTGGTTATTGTTATTATTATTATTATTTTTTTTGGTTTTACGAGACAGGGTTTCTCTGCATTGCTTTGGAGGCTGTCGGTCCAGCCTGGCCTCGAACTCACAGAGATCCGCCTGCCTCTGTCCCGAGTGCTGGGATTAAAGGCGTGCGCCACCACCGCCTGGCCCCACTGGTTATTGGAAAGCACAAAAATCAAGCATGGTGATTGGACAACATGGGATGTATAATACCACTGAAATATATCCTTAGAAAGCATGAAGATGGGCCTGGGGGTGTGTGGTTAGTGGCAGACCACTTGCCCAGCAAATGTAAGGCCCTGGTCTCCAACCTCATTCCTGAGGGAAAACAAGGAAAAGAATGAGAGAGAGAGTAAATTTCACATCATGCCATGTGGTTTCCATCCCGTTTTTTTTTAATAGTCTGTGGCATGCAGCGACATCTTAACAAATTCTGGAGTGGGCCCCCAATGCCTTCTCCCTGCAGTCCTGGGTCCCCATGTCCTCTCTCATCTACAGACTTCTCCATGGAGTTAAGGGAGCCTGCGCTCTGGATCTGAGGTGACTGATTTGTTCAGGTTTGCTGGAACTTTCCAGGTTTACCATAACCTCAGATTCCCAGGTCACTCAGTCCCATACAAACCACCCAGGACTCCACCACACCCCAGCTATGGTCCCAGCACACAGACGGGTGGGTTTGTAGAAGCTGTTGTCAGTATGATCATTGTTTCTGCTGTTTTTCCAAAAGATGGGCTTCAGAGCCCTACCGTACAAGCTTCAGGGCCTCTCTCATCCTGGACCTCGTGACCTTGAGTCTGTGGAGTTCCTTGACCCCAATGGGATAGAAGAAGCGGGGCTTCCCAGAACCCACTTGTCCCTTGACTGAAACTATCTCTACTATTTCCTGTCGCTCCTTCCCCCAGGCTGGGCAAGGCCAGACGGCACTTGATGGGGAAGACTGAGTTGGGACATTGTCCAGGGCAACTGCAAGCTGTTGTCTCCATCTGTTTTTTATCCTTTTTTTCCCATTTTTTTTTTAAGACAGGCAGGGTCTTTTATAGCTTAGGCTGGCCTCAAACTTGATATGTAGTGAGGATGACCTTGAACTGATTTTCCTGCTCCCCCCTCCCTCTGGGGCTAGGGTTAGAAGCTGTGCCACAACACCTGCTTTTACTAAGTGATAATGATGGTGATGGAGCCCATGCATGCCAGGCAAGCCCTCTACCTTTAAATGCTTTAAGTTTAATTTTTTATGTCTGTGTGGGCACACCTTTGTGAGGAGGACAGAAGAGATCATCTGATACCCTGGAGTTGTAATTATAGGCATTATGAGCCTCCTGGGAGCTGGGAACTGAATTTGGGTCCCCTGAAAGAGCATCGAGTTGTCTTAACTGTAGAGCAGTCTCTCCTGCACCCTCCACTTTTTTGTTGTCTCCTTCCTTCCTTCCTTCCTTCCTTTTTTTTCTTGAGACAGGCTTTGGAGACTATCCTGGAACTAGCTCTTGCTCTTGTAGACCAGGCTGGTCTCGAACTCACAGAGATCAGCCTGCCTCTGCCTCCTGAGTGCTGGATCAAAGGTGTGAGCCACCACGGCCTGGCCTTTTTTTTCCTTTTGAGACAGGATTTCTCTGTATAGCTCTGGCCTCAAACTCAGAGATCCACCTGGTCTAAAGGTATGCACCATCACACCCAGATAGGATGATATTTTCTTTTGAGGATACAGGGAGAGTTCTATAAGTAGGGTGAGGGGGTCTTTCCCCCACAGGGTTCCTCTGTGTAGCCCTGGGCTGGCCTTGAGATCCACCTGCTCCTGCTAGAACTGAAGGTGTGTGTCTCCATGCCTGGTTTCTTTCTCCCATTCTTTAGATGAGAGCAACAAGCTCAGCCAGTTGACTCTCCAGGTCTAGGAACATCCGAGCCGCGGGGCTTCATATTCCGTTCCAGGGAGTCATATTCATTGTGTTCCCCTGGAGAGCTGGCTTGCAGTTGCTTCTGGGGGCAGGTGTCCTGGCTGGAAGGATGTTGTCATGTTCAGCCTGCTTTCTTCCAGATCCAGGCACAGCTCTGGCACCTAGACAGGAAGACTTGCCATTTATGACTGTCTATCCTGGAGCCCTTCTGGCCTCTCTGATTCGGCCAACTCTTGTATGTCTCAGGTCCAGGGGTGTAGACATACATGTAGGAAATTGGGCCCATGGGTTTTTGATGTGTATTTTGGTACGAGCCTGGGCTTTAGCCTGAGCAGCAAGTCTCTTTCCTAGCCTTTGTCAACATCTGTGGCATGGGATTGGAGAACCTGGAAGGTTTGTGGCAGTGGTGAGCTGGTGAGCTCTTTCTTTCTTTTTTTTTTTTTTTTTTTGGTTTTTCGAGACAGGGTTTCTCTGTGGTTTTGGAGGCTGTCCTGGAACTCGATTGGTAGTCCAGGCTGGTCTCGAACTCACAGAGATCCGGCTGCCTCTGCCTCCCAAGTGCTGGGATTAAAGGCGTGCGCCACCAACGCCCGGCTGGTGAGCTCTTTCTTGCTTGATCTCTTTCCCTTGCTTTATTATTATTGTTATTATATTTGTTTTTGTAGTCCTGAGTTTCATGCATGATAGACAAGTACTTTAACACTGCACTATACCTCCAGTCAATTTTTTGTTTTTGTTGTTATTTTGAGACAGGGTTTCTCTGTGTAACCATGGCTGTCCTGGAACTCGCTCTGTAGATCAGGCTGGGCTCGAACTCAGAGATCCGCCTGCCTCTGCCTGCGTAGTGTGGGATTAAAGTCGTGTGACACTACACCTTGCTAATTTTTAGCTTTTTTTAAGATTAATTTTTTTTATACGTGTGTGCGCATGTCACATGAGTGTGGGTGCTTGTAGACGCAGGAAGAAAGCATCAGATCTCCTGGCCATGTTATGTGAGTGCTGGGAACTG